CAGAAAAACAATATTTTTATAAAAAGAGAGTGCAGTTAGATCAGTAAAAAATTATTTTAACTGGCGCTTGCCCCATCGACAATTCAATGAAAAGAAACCTCTTGTCACAATCCCTTCTGGTCTTTAACCCCAGTCCGTACCCTGGAGAAACTCAGACAAGTGGGCTATTGGCCAGAAATGCTAAATGGAAAGATTTGGTCTTAAAAAGGGTCAGGTTTTTTTTAACAAAACTCATAAGAAAACAATTAGTCACCCTATGCCGATTCCTTAACCGTGCGAAGCGTTAGGAAGATTGCGCAATATCTGCAGGCATATGCCGAGAGCTAAAATGCAAATTTGACTTTCCATGGATCAGTGCGATTCAAGTGGCTTGTTTTGACATCCAATAGCATACGATTCATGTGATACACCAAGTAAAAATCACTCGAAGGAACGGACAGAATAGAAGTCACGGGAGCATTGAACTTCGGATAGCCGTAACTATGAAGGTCATCTGTGCAGGACTTCTAAAAACGGGTACTAAATCAATTGCCAAAGCCTTGCGGCACCTTGGATTTACAGTGTTCGACTGGGAAGAGCAAACGTTTGACTTTGTAGATCACTGGGTTGATGTTTTTCAAAATGGCGCCAAACCTGATGTGAAGCGAGTTTACCAGAATGCCGACGTATGCGTGGATACCCCTGGAAACTTCTTCTTCGAGGAAATACTGGAAGCTTTTCCTGACTGTAAAGTGATTTTGAGCGTGAGAGAGGAAGATTCGTGGATAGAAAGTCTAGTGCGTCAATTGGATTCATTGTATGCTTTACGATCCAAGATTGGGTCCATGTTATCGCCAACAGCGAAGAAAATGGAGTACGTTTTCGATTCCTTCCTTAACGCCGCCATTGGATCTTGTAACACCAAGTCCACCTATGTTATGAGAAAGCGATATCGTATCCACAACCACCGTGTAAAGTCCATTGTTCCCGCTGACAAGCTTTTGGTGTACAACGTAAAAGAAGGATGGAAGCCATTGTGTGATTTCTTGGAGTGCGAGGTCCCCACTATTGCCTTCCCACATGAAAATATCAAAGCAGAAATTACTGCGAAGTTACTTGTGTCAAGATGTGTCCAGCAGATGAGATGGGAAGTGCGGAGAGGTTTTTTTGCAATTGGTTCAGTTCTAATAGTAATTGTAGGAATATTTCTTGCCTTCTGCTTATATCAGTGACACTTTTCTAAGAGTAAATAGTAACACTGACTGTTTCAGGTACTCGAGGGTCGATCATACGTCAATAATCGTTTTTTCTAGTTTCTTTCTTGATCTAATGAAGACCACATCACATATATTGTATTACGAGAGGTTGTTCACGTTTCTGTCTTGTACGTTAGCTAAAAATCAAAACTCAAGACATGTATAAACTGAATAAACCATAAATTTAGTTTTACGTTTTACGTTTTTTCGGTATTACGAAAAAATGCTACATAATAAAAACACGTCCCAATGTAAAATTCTCATTGCACCTGAAGAAGGCTGGTTTGGCCAGCCGAAATATAGTACACCTTCAAAAAAAATCATCTTACGTTGTGTCGGTTTCTGTTTTTATATTCTTCATAAATTTAATCACTTTTAATTTCGTGTAAATTTATTAATCACAGGACTGAGAAAAGCACTCCACCAGTTTTGTTTGGCTGATAACAGGCCAATTTGACTTTAATTCTTCATTTTCATTCCAGTGCAAATTAATGCAGGTGCCTTTCTTGTTTTTCCCGTCATGTATTTCTCCGGTTTCTCAATCAACTTCCTATGGGGTTATATTAAAATACTGAACTTAAAGTGTAACTCTAATTTATCCACCGTTTAGAAATAAGCCGACAACAAACGCGAGAGATTTTTTGTAGGAAAACCACTTTGATTTAAAGTATAGACCATGGATTCCACCTGCAAAACTCAGTTATTTAATGAAGTAAAACGGTTCTTTTTTTCAGGACTTTAGTAAGGTAATCTTACGAACGTCGGATTCCCTAGCATGCTCCATTTTTCCCAGTCTCTCAATCTGGTATTGCTTGGCTAATTTAGCTGTGTATAAAGCTAAATATTGGGAACGCATCTTGACTCTCTCAATGATGAGCTAAGTTATTTTTTCTTCACCTCCAACACATAAAGAACCCCGAAGGCGTTCTTTATATGCACACAGACTGTATGTGAACAACATCGGAGTTTCATCCTAGCCGCCCGAACTAAATGAGGTACCATCAACAAAGCTGTCTCCAATTCGACCATTCTATTGTACATTAATAACTCAAAAATAATTATGAAGTGCTTGCACGTGGTTTACTTGCGGTTGACCTCCCGCATAAGCACCGATGCTAGAGATGGCGACAACTTACCATCCATCCATACAGTTTTTAATTCCGCATAGTAAATTGCAGTAATGTAGATAAAGGACCACCCTAATTAACTTAGAGTTAGCTTGGTGACATCCTTTGTAAATATTTTTATTATTATTATCATGATCATGATCGTTATCGTTATCGTTATCGTTATTATTATTATTATTATTATTATTATCATCATTATTGATACTTGCTCTAAGTAATAGAGATAACAGTGCGACCTTAGCGCTTTGCTAAGATCTGGAAAGCATCAGAAAACCATATTTTGTTTACTAAGAGTAAATAAAAAGGACTATTAAAAATAAGAAAAGTTAAAACAGTGACGATGGACTTAGAGAAGATTATTTCTAGTTTTCAATGATTAATCCACCAAATTCTCTATTTCTTCGCAACATCTAACTTTTCATTTGAGACTTGTTAATAACATTTACAGTTTACGATGATATATCTTGCATGAATAAGGAAAACTGCTCAGAAATAATGCAATATGTCTGATAATAGTCAATTTTCCATATCACGCAACGCGAATTGTTATGTTGCGCCATAGCGTGACGCTTAGGTACACTCCCTGGGGTAACAAAGAATAATTATAAGCTAATTCTGGGGCTATGAAATACAATAGGGTTTAGCGACTCAAGAATATAACCGCAGTATTGTTGTAATTAAATTCCATAGAATGTATAAGCCATTGATGTAAGAGGAATGGACGATGAGATTGTAACATTAATTGTACAAGAGATTGGAAGAAAAATAAACGCATCCATCGAAAGATAGTCCCTTGATTGTGAACCAGCACCGGGAGATGTTCCCGAACACAGAAAACAATCACAACAACTTTTTTAAAAACATTCTCTTAAACAAAACGGCTACGTGCCAGTTGAAAGTTCCTTTACCATCAGAAGAAATTGCAGGTTTGAATCCTCAGCTTCCGGTGAACGTTATCAGAGGGTTCCTGTGACGTGACGCGTAAATGGGCATTTTTGTTTTGCGTGAAGCGTAAATTGGGATTTATTTTTTCCGTGATTCGTGAATCTATATTTTTCCGTCCTCGGGAAACCGGTTTTCGATTTTTTCGTGATCCGTGAAATATGCATTAAGTTACCCGTGATTTGTGAACCAACGTCTTTTGCGGGAATAATTTTTCACTTTTTTGGAGATTTAAGCCGTCATTAAAGCTCGTAAACGAAACCACACTGGATGTAAAACCTGCCCATTCGACGCGCTCGCAAACAGTGCTATTTTTCCCAAAAAATCTCAAAAAACATGTGGATTCTAAAATAAAAAAAAGTATCAGAACCAGGGGACCATGACGAGAGACTGTGTGACGGTGGAAATTAAAGCTGAAGAGGGTGTAATATGTTCAACACTCTATCAGACTGGAGTTGAAGCGATTTCTCCCACAAAAGATCTAGTAAGACATGCTGATGAACGAGAACAGAGTCTGAAATTACGAGAAGATGGCCATGTGCAACTATATCTACTGTGGCACATTGCTGTAATGTCAGGTAAAATGTTGAAATACATTTTTGTAATGATTGTACTTGTATGTTTTGCGAAATGTGAATAGAATTTGTATTTTTATGTGAAACATGATTTAGCCTTTGCATTTTTACGTGAAACGTGATTGCTGGCTTTTTTCTGTGAACGTGAAGCTGTTTCTCGAATTTTTCGAATTCGTGATGCGTGAAAAGGCCAATTACTTATGCGTGAAACTGTTTTCAGAAGAGGTATGGGGGACCCCCTTATCAGAAATGTAAATGTGATCTACCCACGCCGTTACTCAAGCTGAATGGATCAGTGGACTGGTTAGATGTGTTCGTGACTCTAGTGGGTTACATAAGGACAAAAACAACTGGTAAACTGACATCACATCAAAAAAGCAGTTCACTGTTTTAGTATATTCATGAAGATCATCTGTGCAGGATATGGAAAAACCGGTACTAAATCAATCGCCAAGGCCTTGCAGTACCTTAGATATATGGTGTTTGACTAGGAAGAGCAAGCGTTTGA